TCTCCTTGAAAAGTGAAGCAAGGGAATGAGGAGCAGCAGCCTTTGTGTGTGCATGCAGCCTCAGTTTTAGTCCAGAAGAGTAGAAGTTACTTCATATATTCATGTTTATGTGCTGTCCAGAAAAAACACTTAAATATTACAGGTAAAATAATATTAGCATTTACTTTTTTGTACAGTAATATTGACATGGAGTATAATGCGTATTGTTTATTTAATAAATTCTAGTAGTTTAGAAATTTGATATTTTTGTAAAATTTAAAAGAATAATTAAATAAATGTTACTACACCCAAAAATCCTTTTTTTCATTGTAGGTTCAGAGTGGTCCCCATACCCTCACTGAGGTTTGACTGTAAAACCATCCTCATAATCCCCCTCACCCCCAGTCCTCTATAGATTAATGCTTTGTTACAGCAGTAACATAAACCTCCTGATGATTCCTCTTTTAGCTGAACATTTCCATGTTTGAGTTGTTGCCCCAACATATATATCTATATCTATATCTTTATTAGTTCTCATTGAGAGGTCAATAAATTGTTGGTTTTTTTTCTAAAACCTGAAAATACCAAAAGTTTGGGACATTGTGTAAAATATAATAAAACAGAAATAAGAGATTTGTAAATGAGATCATATTTTATTTACACTGGATCATAGTAAGGCAAGGGTTTAAACAAAACAATTGTTAAATCTTTTGTGGAAAAAGGTCATTTTGAAATTGAAGCAGCAACATGTCTCAAAAAAGACAAGACGGTACAAAAGGCTGTAAAAGTAAATGATATGACTCACCYGGAGGAGCATTTTGTAACTAAACAGGTTAATTATCAACAAGTCAGTCAGAACTGGTAAAAAAGAGACTTTTAGAGAGACTGAATCTGTCAGAAGTAAAGATGTACAGAGGTTCAACAGTCTGAGAAAAACTGTCTAAAACAGTGAAACTATTTCAAAATAAAAATTATTAACATATATTCATGCATTTTCTATACCTGCGTGATCCTGTTCAGAGTCAGAATTCAGTTTAATTAGTCTAAAAAATTCTGAAATRTTCACTTTAAAACATTAAAATAAAACTCAAGGTTTTCCAGAATCTAACAGTAGCAAAAGGCTAAGTAAGCGAGTAAGATCTGAACTTTGTAACATAACATGTGGAGTTCCTCAGGGTTCTGTACTTGGACCAAAGTTGTTTATACTGTATGTGAATTATTTGGTAAATGTGTCAGAGTTTTTCAAATGTGTATTATTTGTAGAAGATATTACATTTTTCTGCTTGGGTAAAGATATAGAAATGATGCAAACGGAATTTGTTAAAATACAGACTTGGTTTATTAATAATATTAATATGTGTCTCATTGATGTTGGCAGGTTTCATGTAGGCTTCTGACATTCTGTTTTTAATTATTATATACTTGTTGACTGTTTTGGTCAAAACTATTTAATTTCATATGTGAAAATATGTGAATAAACAGTGAGATTTAGAAAATTGCATCAACAAATATCCTCCCTTGGGTCTTAGCCCTGTTGGGGGCTAAGCACCCCTAAATGTCAGATCCTAGAATCTCCCCGGTCCTCTGGTATGTCGTGTCTATTTGTATATTGTATAAATATTGATGGTGGGCCGCCATGACCAAAAAAATGCCCGGGCCRTTTTTTGGTCCCAGTCCAGCCCTGGTAAAACCCCAATTCAGAACTAGTTTGAAGGAATGGTGTATTTTAATTCAAGGAATAAAACTATGGAATAATTTGGAGAGTGATGTAAAAAACCCAGGATCATTATGTACATTTAAGAAAATGATAAAAGTTGGATTGGTAAAGAAATACGAAACAGAATAAGGTGTATCTATATAAATTGTTGTTTTAAAGGGATCAGATGTTTTGGGCTTTTGTTTTGTTAATAACCAAGGAGGTTCTATAGAACAGTTGGAGTGTGCAAAAACCTTGTTACCGTGTGATCGGCTGGAGAAGCTAACGGCTAACGCTAAACGGGCAAGACTCTGGATTTCCCATCACTGTACATGTTGACAACAGAGCAGAAAAAAAGTACAGACGATGTAGAAATCATTAAAACTGTTAATAATAATATTAACACAATTATTATTAATATTTTACAGTTTATATACAGTGGTTTGCAAAAGTATTCATACCCCTTGAACTTTTCCATATTTTGTCACATTACAAC